AGAACTAGACCAACTCTTATGTTTGGTATTTTACTGAGGCCTTTAAATGGCCTCGTCCAAATATCTGATATGTAAAATGGAAAAGGTATTAATTAATAAAACCATTTAAAAAACCATTTAAGAAACTTAAGTTCCTCGTACTATTAAGAGTACGTTTATAATTTACGTACTGCTTAAGAGTACGTTTATAACATAGAGTCTAATGTGGAGGCCCGGCTATTACAACGCTGCCTTTCGGCGGATACATATAAACCGAGGTGTCTAACTTTGAGTACAAATAGGCAGTGCTGACGCCAATTTGATGGACGGAGCGATTTTGGAAAGCTGCCATCGCAAAAAAAGGTGCGAAGTGTGGTGGCGGAATAAGTATCCCAGAAGAAATCGCCGTGTAGCTGCTCGTCGCCGTGGGCCACCATCCTGGCTTTGTGGGTGGTTAGGTCACCATTTTCGGTGTGTTTCCTTGTAAACACATATTTAGAGTGTATAATTTGGCGTGAGACGGAACGTCAGGGGGATGATGTTGGCCAGTTGGTTGCGGGAGTGGGCTGTACGCTCGCGATCGATGGCGGCTGACCATAGAGACCAGCCATGGGAAGTGCGGGCCTTGGGGGCACTTTTGGGCACAGTGTAGTCGAGAAAATCGATGGCATCATGGAGAGTGAACCCCTGTTTTGCGGTGGGGATGATCGTATTGGTGCGATGAGAGAGTTGATGAGAGCGATGCGCGAGGAGGAGACGCTGGGATGGTATCATGCGGCCAAGGAGGCGGACCCGCGGAGTGTCAGTTGGGTCGCATGTAGCTCGGTCCTCGTGGAGGAATTATCTGCTCACGGATGGCTTAGGGTCGTATATGTTAGAGTCGTGCCGAGTATAGAAGGCCGCCAAGTTTGGCTCAAAGCCAAAATCCTGGGTGATGTCAGGAGGTGGGGTCGTAGGGTGTGGTAGTGGGGTAGGAGTCGGAAGTGGGGGGATATTGGGGTGGGTGGTCGGGAGTGGGATGGAGGAGGGTGGTGCTTGGATGGTGGGTATGGCGGACAGGAGGGAAGGGTATGGGGACAGGAGGGGAGAATTTGGGGATAGAAGGAAAGTAGGGGGAATCGGTAGTGGTAGAACAATCGGGGTAGGAACCGGAGGAATGGGTTTTGACTGCTTGAGAATGATGGGGTAGGAGTCGGAAGTGGGGGGATGTTGGGGTGGGTGGTGGGGTGTGGGATGGAGGAGGGTGGTGCTTGGATGGTGGGTATGGGGACAGGAGGGGAGAATTTGGGGATAGAAGGAAAGTAAGGGGAATCGGTAGAGGTAGAACAATTGGGGTAGGAACGGGAGGAATGGGTTTTGACTGCCTGAGAATGATGGGGGAAGGGGGGGGGCGGGGGGGGGGTGGGTGGTAGGAGGTCCGTGTGGTGGAATGAAAGGGATCTCAATGGCAACGTGGTGAGACGCAGTAGCCCAATCGCTAGGGATGACCCACGATGAAGGGGTAGAACTGCGTATGGCGTGTTTGCCGGAAGCAGACCGTTGAGGGCGTTCTCCGGTGGAGAACTCAACATTGCGACTGGGGATAATGTGTTGAGAGGAAAACTCTGAATTTTGAAGGTATCATCAGTATCGTAGTGTGTGTAGCTAAGGAAAACACCAAAACCACATTGGGGGCTGTATTTGTGTTTGGATGGCTAGCCGAAAGATTTGTATACTTTATATCCGACCACGCAGCCAAATCTCATGTGAGGAAAAACGAGTTCCGGGGTGCGATACCATATGCGGTGTGGCGAGTAAAAATTAGTGTTTTGGGGGGGTGTTCGGTCGCGCAAAGTGTCCGAAAATTCCTTGGCAAGGAGCCAAAAGGGGTGTGGCATCCCAGCAACTAGGAGAAGACAGCGGACCAAGTTGTTCAGGGTCTCCGGTTGACGTTCCACGGTGGTGTTCATTTGTGGCGTATGGGGCGGGGATGTGTAGTGGTCGTTCACGATGGTACTTTGAATGACGGAATCACTGTCAGATGTAAGCATGTGAGGCATCCAAAGGCGCGGAATGTAAATGAGTAGCTCGCCGATGTGCTGTTCGAGCGACGTCTTATTGGGGAGATTCTTGTGGATGCCAAATGTCGAGCCATTGTCGATCATATTGAGGGCATAGATGTTACTATCTCGGTCAAGAGAAATCCCTTGAGATCAATATGAAGTTTTTCTCCAGGGCCGTAAATTGTATCGGTGACAGTATGAGGAATACCTTTGGCCCGGAGCTTGGCTTCGATACATACTGGACAGTGCTTTCATATTCAGGAATGACCCCAGTATGAATAATAGTGGCAGTAAGGGCTGGCGAGTGTCGGATAGCCGTATGGAGGGGGGCGACTAAAGCGACGATGGTTAAATCCAAGACGGCTTGCCGAAAGCGGCTGTGCCGTGGCGGAGGAATATAAGGTGTTTCTGATGAGGAGGGGATCGAATTGGATGCGAGAATTCACGGCGGCCCACCATTTAACGCAAGGGCGTAGGAGCATGACCATATCGAACATAGCGCCAACCTTGGTAGCCTGACCGGTAAGTTCGTATATTTCAGACCTCAGCGGGTTGTCATATTCTCAGTCAGCAAGGTTGGGGGGGGGGGGGGGGGGTGTTAGTGTGGTTGGTTGGTGTCGCAGCGATGGCCACAGTCGGCTGGGGGAGGAGAGGGAAACGCGGAGAGTGGTGCGTGGGAGGCGATGGGGTCGGAACTATTCTAGTATGGGGCGCCTTTGAAAAAAGGTTCTAATTGGAATGATGCATGTCTGTGAATCCTTAGCTTGTAGAGATTCTGAGATAGTAAGTGGTGTACTAAAGGGGATTAGTGTATGACATTCCTACGTTAGGAAGGA